ATATATATATATATATATATATATATATATCATACATATATATATATATATATATATATATATATATATATATATATATATATATATATATATATATATATATATATATATATATATATATATATATATATATATATATATATATATATATATATATATATATATATGCTGATTTGGTGCTCAAGAAACTTTATACTTAGTTTATCGGTTATTGCAACAAAATTAAGAACATAAGTCCTAAGCACAGCATTTAATTAAAAAAGGATTTTTTAAACAATATATTTCCTGACACTTTTGATGGCATTGCTTTAGTGTAAATAAAATAAAATGTTTGAGCTGATATACATGTATATACTGATTTGCAACCTGATTTTTTTCAATGTTTACTGTATTAAACAAAATGCTTAAGATTTGGCACATGGAGGAGAGTCTTCCACGGTGATGCTAAAAGAGAAACATGCTTTCTCTCTCTCACTTTCTCTACAATCAACAAAAACAAAAATGTGGATTTAAGACAAAAGAACCACATGGGAAAAATTAAAGAGTTAAACATCACAATACAGTGAGAAAATGATTTTAAATGATGAATCCACACCCTTTCACATACAGTTGAAGTTAAAAGTATTCGCCCTCCTGTGCATTTTTTTTCTTCTTTTTCAAATATTTCCCAAACGATGTTTAACAGAACAAGGAATTTTTAACAGTATTTCCTTTATTTTTATTCTTCTGGAGAAAGTCCTATTTGTTTTATTTCAGCTCGAATAAAAAGGTAGTCTTAAATTTTTATAAAACAATTGTATTAGGTCAATGTTTTTAGCCCCCTTAAGCAATATTTTTTTTTTACGATTGTCTACAGCAGCAGTTCCATACAGGGAACACAAGGGGGCCCCAGCAAGCTCTGTGGGGGGGTCGCTTCATATTTAATTTTTTTTAGCAGTTGACAACTAGGAGAATGATCATGTTGCCTTAGTTTATTTTATCCCCTGGCTGATCAAAAATGGACAAATGTATAATTCGTCCTCCACAAAAAAAAAAAAAAAAAGAGTCTCACTGATTCGCTTTTAGCAGCTTATACTAATGACCCAAGCATACTGGACCCAGGTGAGGAAGCTACTAACATTTCGAGTCGCAGTGCTACTGGAACAAAAAATGCAGGAAATTTTCAATTAAATTCAATTCATCTTTATTTCTATAGCGCTTTTACAATGTAGATTGTGTCAAAGCAGCTTCACATACAGTAGAAGATTATAGTAAACTGAAACAGAGTCAGTTCAGTTTTCAGTGTTGAAGTTCAGTTTAGTTCAGTTCATTGTGGTTTCATTTTCACTGCTGAGAGTTCAAACGCTGAAGAGAAAATACCAAGATAGTTACCTTACCAAGATAGTTATGGTTTTATTCCGTTCTCTCAAAGAAAAGAGTTCCTGACCCAGCCACAGTGTATTATCTACACCAATGGTCTTGCTAATGAATGCATGACCGTCCAAATTAATAAGACATTTGCAGACGACTCATCCCCAATAATGAGAGTGCAAGACAAAAGAATTGACACACACCCATAATGATATGAGGGATGTCACAGCTACTGGCAAGAAACTTTAAAAAATGTGGCAACTAATTGGCAACTACTGTAATATAGGGCCAGATTAAAAGCCAAAGGTGTACGTCTTTCAGTTACAAATGGCCTACTGATGTTTTGCTTTTACATTTTACATTAGGCTATTATTTGTGCATAAATATATCTAGACATAGCAATAAACATACATTTTCTTGGGAAACAACATTTTTGTCATCTTTACTGCAAACTTATATGAGCGATAATATCATGAAATGTTGAGAGGGGCCTACAAAACTTTCTGGGGGGAAAAGGGGGACTTAGCCAAAAAAAAAAAAAAAGGTTGGGAACCACTAGTCTACAGAATAAATTGTTATACAATGATTTCTAGATAAGTTCAAGATTTTACTTATTGTTTTTAAATCACTGAATGGGCAAGAACCTTCTTGTAAATCAGAACTTATTAACCTACAGTCAACTCCTCAGTCTTTAAGGTCCACAAATATAATTTTACTGCAAATTCTGTGGTCACGACTTAAACTGAAAGGAGATAGAGCCTTTGCAGTCGCTGCTCCATGTTTGTGGAACCAGCTGCCACCGGACATTACGAGTGCTTCTTCTCTTTCTATTTTTAAGTCTAGACTTAAGACACTTTTTTATTCAACTGCCTTCCCAGGTTTTTAATCCTTATAGTGCATTGTTATTTTACTGTTTTGGAATATGTGCTATGGTTTTGTTCAGCACTTTGGTCAGTGCTAAAGTTAACTGAGCTTTTTAAATAGACTTTACTTACTTACTAGTTAACCTAATAACCTAGTTAAGCCTTTAAATTGCACTTTAAACTAAATACTAGTATCTTGAAAAATATTATGTACATGTCATCATGGCACAGGTAAAAGGAATCAGTTATTAGAAATTAGTTATTAAAACTATTATGATTAAAAATGTGATTTTAAAAAATTGTTCTGCTAAACATAAATTGGGGAAAAAAAATATACAGGGGAGCTAATAATTCAGACTTCAACTATATAGTGCAGTGGTCACCAAAGTTGTTCCTGAAGGGCCGATGTCCTGCAGATTTCAGCTCCAACCCTAATCAAACACAACTGAACAAGCTAATCAAGGTCTTACCAGGTATACTTGAAACACACAGGCAGCTGTGCTGAGGCAAGTTGGAGCTAAACCCTGCAGGGACACCGGCCCTCCAGGACCGAGATTGGTGACCCCAGATATAGTGCTACAAAACAAACCTTTAAAAAGAAAAGAACATTGACTAGATCTATATAAAATAACAACACACAAAAAACGAACGAAAATCAAAGGGCTGGCTGGCTGGCTGGATGCAGGGGATGTTTGTCAGCACATAGAGCACATTGGTTATATTATTAGGGGGCAGTTTTGCAGGATTGAGCGTCTAACTTTATTCTGGGTCACCTCGATAAGGCAGGGGAAGATGGTGCAGAGTGTCCCGATGGCAGAGAGGGCATGGAGGACCTCATGTGCGGTCCGTCGGGCGGACGCTCTGTGGAGCGAGAGCGACTGTACATGGGACGCTCCATTGCGGCCCGTTGGTCTGCAGAACGAGATCGATGGTGGTACTCGTGCCGGTCCGGGGCTCCTCCGTAATTCCTGGAGAAACGTGATCAGGGGAAACAGTGTGGGTTGTTTTTGGCTGATGGTGTCCAGAATGTTGAGAGGGCAGGGTTCACTTAGTGTCCTCTTTGGCACTTTGGAAGCAAACAGTTAATAAAGCTAATCCAAATATACAGCAGTTTTTATGTGCACTGAAAAAAAAATATTCACTGGATTTACTGAATTTGTTTTTGGGTAAGTGGTTGCAAACAATTTATAGGGCTGAATTTAAGCAAACAAATTAAGTTGAACATTACTAAATGTAATTTGTTTGTTTTAATTCAGCTCAAATAAATAGTTTGCAACCATTTACCTAAACAAGAAAATTTGAAAAGCAATAAATCAGTGTGTTCCTGTAGGTGATTGTATCTGATTGACTGAAAAATATCAGTAACCTCATGATTAAGGTTTGATTAGAAAAGGGAAATACAGAATAACACATTTTTAAGCACTCTAATATAAGTATTAAAAAATAAGAAAAGGAATAGTTAAAAATGATTTTTATCGCATTCATAAAAACTGTGGAAGAAAACATTATTAGATTATTGCTGAAGAACAGATCCCATTCAGTTTATCCTGAGATAATGAGCAAATAACGCTATCTGTTTTCTGTTTTGTGCGGTTAATTTGGATTTATGGAGAAAATGAATGGGGAAAGCAGTTCTGAAATTAACACCGTTTATTTATATTTCACATATTTAATCAACACAAAAAATA